GAATAAGGTAAATGGTCACTAATTAGGTAACAGATTAAAACAAGTCACTCAATGTCCAAACTGAGAATTTCAAATTAACACAACAAAACATGTCAATTAAAAGGTATGGATAAGAAATGTAAATAGAAACCAAAATATAAAATGAATAATTAAACGCAATGAATTGAAGTCCGAAAATGTCAGAACTGTAAATTTTTAGTACAAGTCCAAAATAATATGAGAAGCGAATTTTAGCTTGGTCACATATCGATCTGCAAACTTTTTTTAGACAATAAAGAAATGAATGAAACTTATGTTTATACATTTTCTTTTACAAAGATTGCATATTTGAAAATGGTAATAAAACAGAATAATCAAGTGTTGCGTTTTTAAAGCCTGTCAGTATATTAACATTGTATAATTGGCATTTAAAGTGAAATAACACGATCCTTATATAAAAGGCGATTGTATCTTAAAATGACATTTGACACGATGATAAGCTTATATTATAAGTTTCTATAGCACGACCGGTCAAATCCAAAAGAAATAATAGAGTTAAGATAAGAAGCAATAGTTAAAAGTGTCTCGTCTTCTAACACCTACGTAAAATATTTCCTGTTCAATTTTTTTTTAAACTGACGTGGATAAAGACGCATTGTATACCATTCAAAAGAGAACAAATATGAAACATGAAAAATATTATTCAAAATGTTTAAAAGAGCATTAAATCGTCGTACAATAATCACCAGCTGTTTTAAGATATCAAACGTAGAAGAATTTGACAGATTTTAAATTTAATTGTATAGGGATAGTAATGTACAATTTAGTACAACTTGTTTTCGTTTTGCAACTAGTCCTTTTTCCTATACAATGAGAGGTGTACTGATAAACGTACCCTGCGCAAAATGTATAAAGGATCATTTGAAATAATGTTACAAGTCTATGATGAGGATCTGGATAGTATTCACAGAATAGAGAATAATGGACCAATACTACAGAAAGTTGGACCAACAAAATAAAGAATAGAGAATAATGGACCATTACTACAGAAAAATGGGCCAACAAAATAAAGAATGGAGAATAATGGACCAATACTAAAGACAAATGGGCCAACAAAATAAAGAATTAAGAATAATGGACCATTACTACAGAAAAATGGGCCAACAAAATAAAGAATTAAGAATAATGGACCAATACTACAGACAAATGGGCCAACAAAATAAAGAATTAAGAATAATGGACCAATACTACAGACAAATGGGCCAACAAAATAAAGAATTAAGAATAATGGGGAGCTAAAATATAAAGAATGGAGAAAACTGGGGAGAATTTATAAAGAATAAAGAAAAATTGGCTTCAAAAATTAAGAATACAGAATTGAAGGACCCCAATCCAGACCCTCATGTTTAGGTCCATTTTTGTCATAGCTCCTAATGTTGCAGCGTATTTACGAATCACTTGCATTCAAATGTTTAGGTTTTAGCGTTCTAGATGAAGGTTAATCTAGACGCGCTTTGGACGCATGAAAAGTTTAAAGTGTTTATTCAACTTTTATTAATCATAAACCTAAAATCAGCAAATTTTATGATAAGAGACTGTAATCCTTTTCTCCAAAAATACTATTTTGGTTGATGAAAGTTCCCCCCATTTTCAGGTCATTTTTAGAAATGAAGTGAGAAATCTAAGAAGTCTTATCAATTATTATCCTTATTTTTTTCAGTATATGTTATTATTAGTACTTCATTGAGAAGGCGTTTGTTTGTGTGTGTGTGTGTGTGTATTTTTTTTTTTTTTTGTACGACTGATAGTTAACCAGCAGCGTTACTGATCGAATGGTAGTAAAACAAAAACCTGATTACAATTTGCACGGCACATGTTTTAATATGGACCTTAATTTAAGGCAACAGTAGTTTATCAATGTTCGTATATATATAAATTCATAAATAAGATAAAAATCAAGGTAAAACAAAAACTAAGAGAATCGCCTGAATTTCAAAATAGCGAGACAAGATTCAGCGCAAGCAATGCAATTTATTTCAGCGTGTAAACTGAGGAAATCGCATAAGTATAACAGGTGCGAGACCGGATGCGTGAGCGCTATCTCCTATGCATGCATCACCCGCCATGCAAATCTACACAGTCAAAATGACAAAATCGGTAATAAGATGCAATGGTTAAATAACTGACTAATTACCAAGAAGGATGCCTCGGTGGCCGAGTGGTCTAAGTAGTCGTACAACTGTATCACTAGCTATATAGCCTGTCAACACTGAGATTGTGAGTTGGAACCCAGCAAGTGGCAGGTGCGCTCTACTCCAATCTTAATTGACCAGGATTGTCAGTGTTCCTACCGAAGGACGGTGGTTCTCTGCGGGCACTCCGGTTTCCTCCGCCAATAAAAACTGACCGCTACGAAATAGCACAATAGTGTTGAAAGTGGCGTTAAACACCAAATAATAAATCAATCAATTATCAAGAGACAAACAGCAAAACAAAGCGTTGTTTCTTGCTACATGGATCACTTCATTTATCTTTTTTAATGAGGTTCCTCTCCAATATCATAATCGTGATGTCGTACTACGAATTAAATTACAAGGTCAGCCCATACTAGTAAATAGTTGAATAAGCAACTTAAAGTAGAAATAACAATATCGCGGTTTGTCAGTTACATAAAAGGGGTACGTTTTGTTTCTTTAAATTATTATTTGTCACGAATATTAACTTAATCTATCAATGAATAGCACGAGCAACCTAATTCGGTTGAGTAAAAACATAAGCGTCTTTGTTTTTTTCACCATTGAAAATGATAAAGAATAAATAATTGACAGTCTTACGTACGACTGCGTGACGTATATATATATATATATATATAATTATATATATAGAACAAAGTACTTTAAATATTGAATACGTAAAAAAGATCACCCATTATATAGATAGGATATACAATATACAAAAGAAGATTAAGTTCAATAAAAAAAAAGTTAGCGCAGCTGGTTTTTTTAAGTATTTAAGTAATTGCACGCATTTCACTAATTTTAGAATTAGCTGATCTTATGTATTTGTTTTTTAACTGTAGTTAGCCATTTTACTGTACAAATACAGGTGTCAAAGGATAGTTTTCTCATTGGAACTCATACCATAGCTCCTAATTTGTATATCATGTGGTATTAGAATAATATAGGAATAGTGATATCTGGTATCCAGCTTCCACTGTGAGCAAACGGTAATATTCAGTTTATTATTTCGTAACAGATTCTTTCTGTCTTGTTTTCGCGGTAAAGTCTAAACAATCTAGATTCTTTTAGAAAATCAAAGACAAGGTAGGAAAATAAAACAGATCATTGAATAGAGGCATCAATGTGAATTGCAGCATAAAAATAATATACGTACAATGTACAATATCGAAAATTTTAATATATATTTGTGCACGCTACAAAACAGGCGAATAGCTTTGTGTTTCCTTCTGTTTCTGGGGCGCATACTTATAAATTTTCTATTTTCCAGTCATGCACCTATTTTTATACTATCGGTTTGGCTTTACTTTTTGGTTATTATTGGTTATAACAACACTTTAAGGTTTTCATTAGGTTTTGATTTTTTCAAATAATTTTGTCTCAGGCATCACTGTAGAGTTATTGTCTATCGACATTCGGATTAGGAGCAGTAGAATTGGTACCGTTAATGTTATACATGTAAAATAACGCGGTTGGTTTTGAAAAAACAATAGATATGTTTTATATAGACTTTTTGAAGTTAAAGGTCATTTTTATTTAACGAAAATGCACTTGTTAAAAAAATCATGAGTCACCACTGCATGCGCTATGTTAAAAAAAATCTGCATAGCAACAGTACCGGAACGAGCTGTCCTTTTTTCTTCTTCTTTGTTTAGTAACACACTGCGAACACTCTAGAAATGAACATTATGTGAAGCAAATACGGAAATCCTCTATCAATTGAACTGCGTCAATCCCAAATTTCATCGTCGTAAAACTGAGTGATAAAACTCAATTACAGAATTTCCTTCGATATCTTCTTTTTTTTGCTGTTGTTAGTTTTTAAAATTCAAATTTTTAAATTTTTCTGAGTCAAATTCTATCTTTAAAAAAGTTTCGAAATTTTAGTTAAGTAGATCGAAAATTCGATTACAAATAGTCTGTTGCCCTGTCCGTTATATGCTTCCGGAGAAATGTTAAATTTATTTCCAATGTTATTATTTGCAAATTGAAGTACCTATTTATGTAACAAGTTTAACCTTTCTAAACAGGTAAGGAGTGTTCCGACATATTGAACCGATTTAATTTTAGAATAGCAAATATCATGTTGACATTTGATATTCCTTGAAGGTTTCTTTATTTGTTTCAAAGAAATCATTGAAATAATTGGTAAACAATTTGCAATTATTAAGATTATAACTAACCATCATAAAAAAAAGAAACTGAAGATACCTAAAAGGCCAATAAAAAATTATAATCAAGGAAAACCCAACAGCAGCATGGCAAAACAAAAATGAAAAAAGGAGAAAATGCTACATAGAGAATTATATTTGTTGAAAATCAAAGGAATTAAGTATATCTTAAAATTTATAGAGTTCCAAGAAGACATTTACACTTTAATTAATTTCATTCGGAAATACGTAAAAAACAATTATTATGACACCTATCAATTGAAACAATATGATCATATTCTATTTTCACTTGTTAAGATTCAAAGAAATATAGTATAATCTTTTAACATGTTAAACTTACAAAGTTTTTTCGAGAATATGTAAAAATGAAATGTTATTCTCACTATACAAACCCTTGTTATATAATATGATTTTTATCAATTAAAACAATATTATATTTCAATTTCATTTAATTGTTAAGATTCAATTGACTAATTCAATTCTGGTGAAGAGGAACCTTAGGGATCCTGTACTGGAAATCAACTATAAGTAATTGAATATATTTGTAAATGAAATGATTGCATGATAACACCTGTACTGCATATTGCATGTTGTGTAAATACCCGTATAATTATTGTCACATAATATAGCATGCATGATATCATTTGTAAGGCGGTATTTAAATTCTGATTAAGATCACAACAATCACTAAATCAATAAGACGTGGAAAAGAAACACAGTCTTAATTTTTTGGACTTTTTTTGAGATTTTTAGTATCACGGTAAGTTTCGTATTATCAGTTAATGTCTTCATAATAGAAACATTTGGGATATTCGACAACGAATGCCTCTTCAGTGATGCTCGAGGCAAAAATATTAGAAAGTTCAAAACCTTCAAAAAATACAAAAGTTGAAGAGTTATTAAAAAAAAAAAACCAAAGATAAAGCCAAACCCGTAAAAGGAATAAGAGCTATGCAAGAGGGAGATACATTCCTTAATTTAACGTAACATGTACGTAAATGAATGATCTTGCGGAATTTTATGAAACTTTGCATACAACTAGAGCACGAGGGACTGCACATAAACATCGAAACAGTTATATATCTATAAATTTTATACTTTCTGAGATATAGTAAATAAAATATTCGGAAAATAGTAGTACAAATGTATAGAATACACATAAATATCGTAAAAAAGTTCAGCAATTTTGACTTAAAATTAACTTTTCTCGAAATCCTGTCCTACGAATTTTCTTTAAAAATGATATGTTATTGCTACTGAAATTTCCGTATGCAGATCCACATGCTAACATTGCTTACAAAATTTCATTAAAAACCGTGAGTTTGCTCATTTATGTACCTGTTACCTTAAAATGATTTCGAAATTTTATGACAGTAACTTCATTTAAACAATATCCGTTAACATGGAGAAAATAAATAAAGAATAGAGAAAAAAAAGTAAAAAATTAAAGAATTAATAGTAAAACGCGCATGAAAAGAAAACTATCAGCATAACTTAACCAAAAATAAACACCATCGACAACGGGCAAATTGGCAAAAAATATGGAACTAAGAATTTGTTAGGATTTTCACCTTTTCTTTTTCTTTTAGCCCTTCAAAACATAATAGTATCTTGTTCCCGTGATGACATGCTTTCCGAGAGTCAGGAAGGTCGTGTGTTCGACCCCCAATTTAGTCAAACCAAAGGCTTGGAAAAGGGTGCATTGCATTTGCTGCTTTTCTGCTACGCTAACGGCATTACGGAGTAAAAGAGTAACGTGTCGGTGGTAGAATGACAGAACTTTCAGTGGACTGAAACCTTGTGAACTATCACATAATAAAGTATCGATCAAAGACAAAGCAGCGTTCCTATTCATTCCAAATAAACACATTCTAGTCCTGATATTCATGAAATATTTGCCACTGTACGTTAAACACCATTTGACCTTTATCCCCATCATTACTGTCACCCATTAAATTAGACAGTATCAGAACTATCAGTGACTTGCATACTGTCAAATTGAAGATAAGTCAGCTATAATAACATCAGGATACCAGGATTAAAATTGTGTACGCCAGACGCGCGTTTCGTATACAAAAGACTCATCAGTGACACTCGAATATAAAAAGTAAAAAAAAAAGCCAAATAAAGTACGGAGTGGAAGAGTATTGAAGACCCGGAATTCAGAAAGGTTTTGCCAAATACAGCTAAGGTAATTTATTCTTGGGATAAACGATCCTTAGTATTTAAAAAAAATTGAAAGTTTTATTAATAGTTAATTTATGATTATTGTGTCAGTGAAAAAATGGATAAAATTTGATATTGAGACTTTTCGGACATTTGTAACATAATTTCGTAAAATCATTATTTTTCTTGTTGATTAAATATTTCTCAGGGATTTTGTTAATTTGTATCGTGAAAGGTTTAAGTCAAGCTAATCTTATTTCATGTTTCAGTTTGTTTTTCAATTAGCTAGTTTGTTATGTAAATTGTTTTATCATTTCAATATGACAGATTGGATATACTATGTCACTGAGCAATTCCAATTGTACAATTGTATTCCATGCTGAACTACATTTTGTATTAAATCATATATCACAGAAACCAGAGTCGTCATTTGTTGCAAGAGTTAGTCCCAGAGTCAGAGTCGGTGCAGACTTCAGAGTCGGTGCAGACTAGTCGTATGTGTGTGTGGTTGAAGGTCAACACACATAACCCAGTCACAAGATTCAGATTCAGATTCAATATTTTATTAAAGTCTCACCGCATACAATTACATATATTATTTACACAATAAAATATCATACAGGTACATAAAACATACATTATATAACAACAAACTTTAAATTCACATTGTATGTGCCAATCTTAAAAGATATATGAGAGACTGTACAAGCAAGATACACCCAGTTTATATTTGTGTCATTATGACCATATCAATGATAATTGTAAACACAGAAGTGCTGACTAAAAGCTTGTGATACCCTCGGGGAGAAACCTCAACCAGTAGTTGTACAATGATAATTGTAAACACAGAAGTGCTGACTAATGGCTGGGGATACCCTCTGGGAGAAACCTCCACCAGTAGTTGTACAATGATAATTGTAAACACAGAAGTGCTGATTAATAGCTTGTGATACCCTCGGGGAGAAACCTCCACCAGTAGTTGTACAATGATAATTGTAAACACAGAAGTGCTGACTAATGGCTGGGGATACCCTCTGGGAGAAACCTCCACCAGTAGTTGTACAATTATAATTGTAAACACAGAAGTGCTGATTAATAGCTTGTGATACCCTCGGGGAGAAACCTCCACCAGTAGTTGTACAATGATAATAGTAAACACAGAAGTGCTGATTAATGGCTGGGGATACCCTCTAGGAGAAACCTCCACCAGTAGTTGTACAATGATAATTGTAAACACAGAAGTACTGATTAATGGCTGGCGATACCCTCGGGGAAAAACCTCCACCAGTAGTTGTACAATGATAATTGTAAACACAGAAGTGCTGACTAATAGCTGGTGATACCCTCGGGGAGAAACCTCCACCAGTAGTTGTACAATGATAATTGTAAACACAGAAGTGCTGACTAATGACTAGTGATACTCTCGGGGAGAAACCTCCACCAGTAGTTGTACAATGATAATTGTAAAGACAGAAGTGCTGACTAATGGCTGGGGATACCCTCTGGGAGAAACCTCCACCAGTAGTTGTACAATGATAATTGTAAACACAGAAGTGCTGATTAATAGCTTGTGATACCCTCGGGGAGAAACCTCCACCAGTAGTTGTACAATGATAATTGTAAACACAGAAGTGCTGATTGATAGCTGGTGTTACCCTCGGGGAGAAACCTCCACCAGGTGTTGTACAATGATAATTGTAAACACAGAAGTGCTGATTAATGGCTGGGAATACCCTCGGGGAGAAACCTCCACCAGTAGTTGTACAATGATAATTGTAAACACAGAAGTGCTGATTAATAGCTGGCGTTACCCTCGGAGAGAAACCTCCACCAGTAGTTGTACAATGATAATTGTAAACACAGAAGTGCTGACTAATAGCTGGTGATACCCTCGGGGAGAAACCTCCACCAGTAGTTGTACAATGATAATTGTAAACACGGAAGTGCTGAATAATGGCTGGTGATACCCTCGGGGAGAAACCTCCACCAGTAGTTGTACAATGATAATTGTAAACACAGAAGTGCTGACTAATGACTGGTGATACCCTCTGGGAGAAACCTCCAACAGTAGTTGTACAATGATAATTGTAAACACAGAAGTGCTGACTAATGGCTGGGGATACCCTCTGGGAGAAACCTCCACCAGTAGTTGTACAATGATAATTGAAAACACAGAAGTGCTGATTAATAGCTGGTGATACCCTCGGGGAGAAACCTCCACCAGTAGTTGTATAATGATAATTGTAAACACAGAAGTGCTGATTAATGGCTTGCGATACCCTCGGGGAGAAACCTCCACCAGTAGTTGTACAATGATAATTGTAAACACAGAAGTGCTGACTAATGACTGGTGATACCCTCTAGGAGAAACCTCCACCAGTAGTTGTACAATGATAATTGTAAACACAGAAGTGCTGACTAATGACTGGTGATACTCTCGGGGAGAAACCTCCACCAGTAGTTGTACAATGATAATTCTAACACAGAAGTGCTGACTAATGGCAGGGGATACCCTCTGGGAGAAACCTCCACCAGTAGTTGTACAATGATAATTGTAAACACAGAAGTGCTGATTAATAGCTGGTGATACCCTCGGGGAGAAACCTCCACCAGTAGTTGTACAATGATAATTGTAAACACAGAAGTGCTGATTAATGGCTGGCGATACCCTCGGGAAAAACCTACACCAGTAGTTGTACAATAATAATTGTAAACACAGAAGTGCTGATTAATGGCTGGTGTTACCCTCGAGGAAAAACCTCCACCAGTAGTTGTACAATGAAAATTGTAAACACAGAAGTGCTGACTAATAGCTGGTGATACCCTCGGGGAGAAACCTCCACCATTAGTTGTACAATGATAATTGTAAACACAGAAGTGCTGACTAATGGCGGGGGATACCCTCTGGGAGAAACCTCCACCAGTAGTTGTACAATGATAATTGTAAACACAGAAGTGCTGACTAATGACTGCTGATACCCCCTGGGAGAAACCTCCACCAGTAGTTGTACAATGATAATTGTAAACACAGAAGTGCTGACTAATAGCTGGTGATACCCTCGGGGAGAAACCTCCACCAGTAGTTGTACAATGATAATTGTAAACACAGAAGTGCTGACTAATGGCTGGCGATACCCTCGGGGAGAAACCTCCACTAGTAGTTGTACAATGATAATTGTAAACACAGAAGTGCTGACTAATGACTGGTGATACCCTCTGGGAGAAACCTCCACCAGTAGTTGTACAATGATAATTGTAAACACAGAAGTGCTGACTAATGACTGGTGATACTCTCGGGGAGAAACCTCCACCAGTAGTTGTACAATGATAATTGTAAACACAGAAGTGCTGACTAATGGCTGGGGATACCCTCTGAGAGAAACCTCCACCAGTAGTTGTACAATGATAATTGTAAACACAGAAGTGCTGATTAATAGCTGGTGATACCCTCGGGGAGAAACCTCCACCAGTAGTTGTAAATAAACTCATCATAGATACCGGGATTAAAATTGTGTATGCCAGACGCGATAATAGTATAAGGGAACGACCATTTAACTTCAAAGGAGGGGGTGGGGGTTATTTTTTTTCCTAAAAAAATATTCTGATCCCCAATTTAATGAAAAAAAAATTGTGGTCAAGCAGATGACAAAACAAAATATTCTGAATCCAGATTTTCCCATACCTTATAGTTTAAATTTGAAAAAAATAATTTGATTGATAGCGTCGAGAAACAAAACAAAAAAAATGATCGTGCTTTGCGAAAAAAATTTCTGACTCAGACGAAAAACCATACATCCCCCTTGAAGTTAAATGGTTGCTCCCTAAAAGAACCATACAGGATACTAGCACTTTATATGTGGATATCCTCTTGTATTGCATGTACGTTTTTTAAGGTTGTTTGATTTATATATAATGCTTGGTTCAGCTGACTTCTGCCCTATTTGAACATGCATATATCTACACGCACTATACGTAAACACAATAGTACTGTGTAAATGTAGATTTTGAATGATATTTGTTTCTTTTTCAATGCCCCCTATAGCCTTTAAAAGTCTATACTCGTATTACGTCACTTATTTTAACCTGACCCGGCATGGTCGTCTGAACAAAAGATAAATAATCACTAATATCATTGTAGATGTGATAATGACGCTGAACACGGATATATGATAATTTATTGTGGAACGGAGAATAATATGTTGTCTACCTCGATATTTTTCTACATAATTGCACGAATCAGGACAAAGAACGACCTAAAAAAAGCTACACAAAAAATATGCCTTTATCATCTTCTTTTATTTATCTCCCAAGTTACATTACCATACCATTCGATTACAAACGGAAGGACCTCTAGTCTATCTACAGTAGGGTCTGGATGGGGTTTTACATAAAAGAGGATTATGGACTAAAACTAAAGACAAAATATTCCCAAAATATATAGAACAGAGCGAAATAGGGGGAAATATAAAGAATAGAGACAATGGGGTGCTAAAATATAAAGAATAGAGACTATTAAATGGACAGCCTTATATAGAATATTGAAAAATAGTATAAAGAATTAAAGAATGAAAAAATTGAGAACCCTCACTGACCCTCCTACAGTGATAGGTATCATGTCTGTCCGTCAATTCGTAGGTTGCGAGTTCCAACCTTAGTGAGGCGTGCTCGATTCAGTCTCAATTGATAATTATTACCACATTTTCTATCGAATGCGGTACTGTCTCCGGGCAATTTTGTCTCCTCCACCAATAAAAACTGTCCATCATGAGATAGGGTCGCTGAGACTAGCATGTTAACTAGCAAATAAACATTACAAACAGATACAAGGATTAAAATTTTGTATACGAGACGGTCGTTTTGTCTACAAAAGACTCATCGGTGACGCTCGAACCAAAAGAGTTAAAAAGGCAAAATAAAGTGCGTAGTTGGAGAGCATCGAGAACCCATTGGTTTTGCCTGGGGGATATATCATTTGTTATTTCAGTAATTGATATTTTATAAGCATTTGTCATTCTAAACTATATACGTGTATTTTTTTTGTTTTAACATGTTAGTAAATAATTTAAATGATTCAATCTAACTTAAAATTAAAAAAAAAAGGTATTGAGATCAATTTCGATAAATACGAGAGAATAGGCTCTAGTTTAAAAGTACTGTTTTAATTAAAAGGCTACAATATTATAGAATTTCTTGATAGTGGTAATATAATCACAAGTGACGAGATACCGTGCTAACATCCTAAATGGCGAAGAAATAGCAAAATCTTGAGACCGGATGACGTCATAAATCTATGAGTAGAGGAACAATAAATTAATGTAATTCTTATTAAAAAAGTGCAGCTGTTACAATACACACTTTTACTGATAAATTATTAAATAATCCTTATTTCGTATGAAAATATTATTACTTTATTATAAATATTAACCGTTTAAGGAAGATCTGGTGTCTCCCCCTTCTTGGATTGTAGAAAATCCGAAAACAACTGGTCTAGATCTTTTTTTTAAATATGCAAATTTTGAGAGAGGAATGCAATTCATCTATAAGAACTTATTATCACGATCGGATTTATGTCGGTGTTATCAGCGTAAGAATTTTGGTGACTAACTGAAAAGAAAATTGAGTTACTAATAAAAGTATAAATTACATAATTTATTAAATTAATACCATTGGATCCTATAACATAAACTTTAACATCACAACTAAAATACGGATTTTGGCCGGATCTTATTCAGTTTGTTCTATTGTTTTGAATACTAGCTTTGTTTGTATTTTTTATTACTTTTTTTCCTTTACATTCTATCCTGAAGGGGGCGGGCGACAGTCGCTGTCTTTCCTTTTAACGTAAAACAGGTTGTTTTCTGTATTTGTTTGTAGTCTTTTATTTTGTTACGATTAGTTATTACCTTTATTTTTAAAATTTTAATATTACATTTGATCTAATTAAACATATCTACATTCAAGCATCGTTTTATATCGTTATGAAATTTTAAAACCGTTTTATTTAACTTCAATATGAAATAAGAAGAAGTGGTACATGTATGAATGACAATGAGACAACTCTCCACCAGAGACCAAATAACGGTAATGTAGAAGTTAACAACTGTAGGTCACCGTGCATCCTTCAACAATGAACAAACCCATATCGCATAGTAAGATATCAAAGGCCCCGGTTTGACTAATGTAAACAATTCAAAAGACTCCAATGTCTCATACTTATATTAAATTAAAATCATCTTTTTTATTTTAGAAAACTTTGTCAAAAATCAAAAACAACCTAGAGGTAAACACGTGGTTACAATCACCGTCGACAATACAACTGGTAGTCACATTAAAGGCTCTATACCTTTGAGGGAATTGTGTAACAAGTCTAAGGCACACCAACTGTCAAGCAGTACAAAACTATGGAAATCGCACGATGATATATATACAGCAACCCAAGATATTCCGAATGGTCTGAGTCTGGTACGATATCTTCCATCTAGTCCAAATGACAGTTCGTACCAACAGTTCTTAAAGTCTACGCCTAATATACGAAGTTATCTGATAGACGAAACAGGGTCCCAGCTTAAGATTAGTGAGATGAGCAAGTCGAAATACACAAGTCCAGCACTAGGTCTGGCATACATGAAAAGGGAAGATGTTGCGTACACGAACCCTGCTTTTATTGACTCTAAATCATCAGTTTCGAATGAATTCGATACAAAGAGCACAGTGGTCCAAGATATCAGTTCTAAAACCAACGGTCATCCACAAACTATTGGTTTTGAAGATGATTCAAAGAAAGAATTTAACGGTTCAATAAAGGGGGCCAATATTTTAGAAACAAATGGAAAATCTACGCCGACAGCTCAAGTAATGCCCAATGTCCATTTCAAGGTTGACAACTCTGATGAATATATTGACAGTGTCAAAATAGACATGATGGAAGATGTCGGAAATCAATCAAACGGAAGTGCCGAATTTCCCAGAAATGCACCGGATGCAGAAGTACCATCTAAAATTAGCCACGACAAGACCAATATTAATATAGTACCTGGAGATACTAATAATGCAGAGTAAGTATTGTAAAATGTACATTAAGTTTAAATATACCGTCTAATCATGGGAAGTGTAAGTACTTTTTTGTTCCAATCTCTTTGACAATTAAATATATAAGTTTGTTGGTATTATTGTTGAAAACATCAGCTAAGGTCAATATAGTGTCTTTAATTCTATAAGAACAAATGATTCGCCAACACCATCAAAAAATAAATTAATCGCCAAGAAAATATTTTAGTTAAATTCATTTGATGATCTTTAATTTAGTAGTACGCTTTTATGATATTCTTACGTTCAGTGTAAAATTTGCATTTTGATAAATGCATATAAATTTTTAAATTATTTATGTTATTTAAGGAATTATTGCATGAGAATGAAACACTTGATATTTTTTGTCATAGGAAACCAGACATTTCAAATTTAAAATCAAATTACAATGTTAGTCACAAACAATTATAAATCTATTTCTCACGAATAAAGAGGTGTTTTGTTTCACATAATATAACATTTGTTCTTCTTACAACAAATCTGACAAAACGCACTTTTTTTGTATTTTTATTGTCTACGTTCTAATTGATACCAAATATTTGTATAATTAGAATTAACGTTTTCTATCAAGATTTATTTATTAAGTGGTTCATTTATAACAAAATGCAGATATCGTATTAAAAATCAAGTACACGTTCTTGCATGTAATTTAGCACGTTTTTGTTTTAATGTAAATATACTGCATTATAGACCTATACAGAAAGGTGTCTTCTTTAAAAATAGGTAAAGCGATCAAGGGGGTCTCATTGGGAAAGGGGGGGATCTTATCCCGGGTCCCGCTTATCGTTTTTTTTTCAGAATCCCGTAGCCCGCTTATCGCTGTAATAATAGCGCTTGGAATTTCACGTGTCACGTCCGACTTCGTTTCCCGTTTTCACGCAAAATAATTTGACTTTTCAAGTGTCACACTTACAAAAAATCGGCCAATCCCGCAACACGCTTACACCCTAATGAGACCCACGATCAACATGTATACTAACATATATATACGTTTAACGTATTACTTGTCAATTGAACAACGTATAGCAAAATCCCTGGCATGGAATTCAATACTGTAAAATATACACGAACGTGGAGAATTTATAGTTTTAAAATAGTTAGTATGTTAGATAATTTGCAAAGTACTAACATAGTATAAATTTACTACACATGTTTTGTTTATATAACTTCAAACTGGACATATCTAAGTACTTCCTTATAGCAACAATATAATGATAGCCTACTAGAGAACTAGAGTCCTCCTTCGTAACTTCTCTGCCATTATTGTTACACCAAAAAGGGGAAGTGAGAACGGCCGAGAATTTATGATTGGTAGAGTTGTATTTCATTAAGTATCCTTCACTGTGCCGATTATAGATTTTTTGTAGAAATAATTTTACAAGCAGTTCTAAAACACCATTGACAGTCAATTTGAGTAAAGATGTTCGGGTATAGGAAATTCAATGCAGATCTACAAAAAAACTTTTTTCATTCGGTTAACCTCTGTAGATTTCGATATCCTACATCCAACTTGTCGAGGTATTCCGAATGTATTTTCTTTTTTTTTTTGTTTGTCTCGAGTTTCTGTTGTCCGTAATTGATTGACATAAAGCCTACCGAGCCGTTTAAGTCATGTATGCTGAAGCAGTATGTCATTTCTGAATTTAAAGAACTAATATTTGATAGTCCTGTCTGTAATTAATTGACAGAATTAAGGCAAAATCAGTCGCTTGAATCATTATTTTCAATTGTGTATACCAAAATGTTGTGAAAAGTTGACAAGGCCGTTCCTTATCCATGAAATTAAAACCAATGACAACACATTATTCTATTATAGTAAAGTTTTCTTTAAATTCTGAAAAGATGAATTGCGGACAAAATAATCGCGGGTTCTTATCGTTTATTTTAAAACGTACTGTATTTTTCTCTAGTAACTAATTTCAGATTATGCACTTTCAACGGTATATTATAAATTGCTTGTATTGTGTATTACAAACCTATATATATATATATTGAAATACAAATATAAATGGTTATTTTTAGTTATTTTGATAACAGGTGAGAGTACAGTAGCATGCTTCAGCGCCATAATAATAACACTTGTTTTGCCATTTCCCTCTACAGAATCTCAAGTTGTTCCCTCTCAAAACTTTTAACAGTAATATTTGCTAATTACATTTTCCAATCGTAAAATATCGGGAACTCAAGTATCTATTTCATTCTTATGGAATAATCGTCCAGCGGAATGAAAATTATTATATTAAAAATCATTAATATTTAATTATGGCCTTTTAACATACCTATCAATAATAATATTTCAACATAAACTTTCTTTAAGTCTATTTCTCTCTGTTGCTATTATATTGAATATGAGCTACCTCCTTAGCCACTCTTTAGGGCTACATTTTATCCGTTCAAAAAGTACACAAATAGTAAACAAATAGTAACCAAATTGATGAATATCATAAATATTAAAATGGATCTATGTACTATTAGTTTTCAAGATGGACTTTCGTTTTATAGTCTCAGTGCAATTTTTGTACATTTTCTCTTTTTGATAAGACAAGTCAGCATTAAAAACTTGAAAGTCTGCCATCAAATTCAGCATTGTTCATATTTGCAAAGTCCAGTCGTCTGCTTTCCGTTTTCCCGCCATTGAAATTAAAATAACAGCTTAATTCTGATTGACTGCATTACCCAACAATTTCCAATAAAACTGACTATTTAAAAGTATAATTTAAAATTTATTCGAGTGATTTTTGCCAATATATATCTGCTTGTAAAAATTCTAATTCAATAAATAGAGAATATCATATGGCTTTTTTCAATATCACATCCGTATCAACCCGAGACACCAATATAATCCCAAGAGCTCTGCTAGAGGGATTATATAGGGTTGAGGGTTGATACGATGTGTGATATTGGAAAAGCCATATCATATACACTTTATTATATACATATACCTCACGTATACGTAGATATTTTTTATGTGACATGATGTCATACCTGTAGGCAAGGAGGTTTGAAATGACGTCATACAGATTATAGGTTTGACATGACGTCATACAGATTAGGGGTTTGATAAAGCCTTTGAAACAGTGACTGCAATCGATGACGTGACGTTATACAGATTAAAGGTGTGATAAAGCCTTTGCAACCGTGCTGATATCGATATCATCACGGATGGCTGATACAGCACGCTTGCCAATGAATGTATTACACATACAATTTATCTGTATTTACTACTAAGTATATAATAAACGTTTTTAAAGCTAAAAGACGTGACATAAATTGACGGCTGTATGATATTACATTAATGAAAAATATGTATAGTGAAAATGAATCAGGTGCCGCCGAAACTAAAGTAAAAACAATATTCATACAAATTATATAATATCTACATAGTGAAACAAGGCTATTTTAAAAAAAAACATATTCTTTTTGAACTTTTAAATTACGAAAGGGAAGAAGAAGAAAGAAAAACAATCTGTATATTTTAACGTCTCTCACATTTGGTTATTTTTAGTTATTTTGCTAGCAGGTAAGAGTACAATAATATGCTTATCAGCCAGAATAATAACACAGACTGATTATTTTTGTTTTTAAATGTTGAAAATATGAAAAAAAGACAAAAAAAGTGTATGTAAACCATATCTGTTATGCTTAGATATACGCTACAATTTATGCTTTCATATATGCTACATGTATACGCAATAAACACTTAGCCTATTTTTCAGTATTTGAAAATATACTCTATGCTTAGTTACTCGTTCATATGGATTTTGGGTACACAGAGATTGCATAAGATATCATATGTATAAGGAACTGAACTCATCTACTACTAAATGTATTGTTTTAAACTAACAACCATAAATACTCTTTTTGTAAAATAAGTCCTATACTTTTCGAATTCTCCCATTCATAGTTTTTTCAAACAATCCAGGGAAAATTTTTATCCCGTCAAAATTCTTAATTTTTCATATATTTATCTAATAAAACTAGCACATTGATCAATCTCTATTTTTTCTTAATTTTTCTTTAAGACTTGACACCGACGACATTTATGAAAATTTTATTATTTCAATTGATTGATTGATTGTATTTAGCTAAACGTCCATGGGCAAATATTTCACAAATATTCAGGACGAGAACAAGTTCAATTAAACCAATAGGCAGGTTAATCACACTCGCTTGGTCCCGAGCATCACTGAACGGAAATTGATTATCGAAAAGCGCATATAATCATCTTGTGCAGTAAGGTTGATAATGTTAGTACATGACATGTCATTAAACTACTTTTAGATGCAAATCTAATCAATTATTCTTATGTCAAAATAGAAGGCGTGTTCAATTAATTCATTCATGTTTATTTTGTGTGATGTTAGTGTAATAGACAAGATAATCTTAAATTAAGATGAAGAATTACGGCAATGTTTTGAATACTATGTAAATTTATTTTAAAGATTGCAATGCAAACTCATTTTTGTGTTATTCGTTAAAACTGTAAACGATGTTTACATATCATTCATTCGTTTTTTTTTCCTAAACTTCTTAGCTTGCATAAAAGCACGAATATATGATTAAATAAATATCAATGTTGAGTTTATACGAATTCGTCTTTTATTAAAATTTATTAGGATAATGATTTGTCTACTAAAACGTTGATCTAAATAAATAAATATTTTTATTGTCATCTAAACATATACACATATTTTGACAAAAACAAAAACGGCTAATATGGCAAAGAAATAATGATTCTATAATAAATGAACACATGGGAAAAAATATAAGCCTTCTGCCCTATGTATATATGTCTATATTACGTCAACAAAGCTGTAAATCTTAATGTAAATATTTGAAATGAATCAAATAGAGACTATTGTTGAAAGATCTTTCCGAAAAAGCTTATCCTTAAAATGGCTATTTGAATCATCAAGATAAAAGGTACCAACCATTCATCATTCATTTTTAGGGGGGGAATGGGGGTAATAAGTTGTTTTATTTTAAATATCTTGTAAAAAAAGTAATTTGTTTGAGAAGGAAAGTGAAAATTTATTGAAATTTAAAAATAACATTGATTTAAAAAAAAATGTTCCTGTGTGCTATTGAAACGAATTGTGATTGTGTTTAACACTACAGGGAGATAACTCTGTAAAACCAGCTGAACATTTTAATCACGATCGATTGTTAAGAAAATATTTAGCTTCTCAATGATCAAAATTAGCGTTTGTCAAACTGCTCTATATCCAATGAATTTTTTCCGATAAAGTGTGTGGTTCAAGTTTATTGAATTTTTAATATTTTTGTCAAAGGGTCAAAATAAATATTTTGTCAAAATTTTATGAAAATTAAACGAATCAAATTAATTTAAGTCAAGGTGTTTGGTACCACCTTAATAAATGTAAACGTTGACAAGAAGTGATTGCATTGAGAGAGAAACCATGCCTCATACAAGTGACGAAGAGTCGGTGCCTTCTCTTTTCCATTTTAATCGCGGTGAAGGATGGGATAAAAAGAGGTACACAGAAGACCATAATTCAAACAAGTTTAGTAAAAACACTTAAAATAATAACAGTACTATAGCTTATATATAAAAAGAAAACACTTAAGTGGATCAAATTACACTGAAAACAAGCTAATAACATGCTAATACTAAAAATCATTCTTTTATATCGTTTGCTTCTACTCTGTATATAAACTCTTTCCTTGTATATATATATTTTTAATATTATTGCATGCGAACACCGTTCGATATATTTTCCCGTGTTCTTGCTTCTTTATTTGTTTATTTTATTTTTTCAGCTATTGTTCTTTGTGGTCTTACAAAATAAAACGATGTCATTCCGTTTTGAAATGATGCAATCATACAAAATCTCATAATTCTTAAACTGTGCAAATATAAAAAATATATTATAGCAATTAAAATTTTACATATTCATTCAATATTTTAATAATTCTTCGATCTGGTATTCTGCAAGTCTCAACATGAAGCCGAGCTCGAACTTGTTTGTCCTGATTTTGTTGTTGACATATTCATATCAAATATTGTTTACTAGCATATACAATGTATGCTGGTACAGCGCAAGGTCATTCCCTCATGTGTTTCAAGGATTGTATGTTATATGTTATTGAATGTTAATATTTGTAAATTAATATATAATTCAAAATAAAGCATTCATTTACGTGACAGCAAATATTCTAGGTTAATTTCCATAAATCAAGGTTATATCAAACTTGCTATAATATATACAACAGGTGCATATTAATGCGGGACGCCCCCGGCGCGCGCTTTCTCTAGAAGAGAAAAAAACCACATGTAATGAATTTAAAAGTTCAAATTACAGTCAATTTTGTGTCAAAATAAGGTCCTCTAATTCCTTATCCTCAAGAGCGTCCCTCAACATCAAATCTGGATCCGCACCTATACCACTGAATTGCACTACATGTAGCTTTCTCATTGGTAAAAGACCCAATGGCCAAAAAAAAAAATCTTAAGTCAAAGAAAAGACGACGACATCTCGAAAAAAACGTTAAAAAACTATGCCACGAAAAAACGTTAAAAAAACCATACCGCAGTCAACTTAACACTACATAAGTTGAGAATGGAAATGGGGAATGTTTTAAAGAGACAATAACCCGACCAAGGAGCAGAAAGCAACCGAAGGTCACTAATACAGACTATATAAGGAACAAGAACTCCACCTAAACTACGAGGTGTTCTCAGATGCTCCGGAATGAAAGACAATTATATATGAAATACATTACAACGGTCTCAATAACAGAAATTATGTAAGATAATATAAAAAATGAAATATAATTAAATAGTCGTCGAGACAATGCATGAAGTATTTGCCACTGGACGTTAAGCATCCGATAACCAACCTTATAAAGTAGTAAATGGTTAGAGACCACCGGCATGGAAATGTTAATTTCCTTTGCGGTACCTATTTTTACAGGAAAGTTTACCAAGGCCAGCCATCAACTAGCCAGGAGGGGTTGTATCTGGATTCATATAACAAAGAAGCGGAAGATATCGAGGGGGGAATTCAAAACTCTTTTAAGTCGAAGAGAAACTGTTTCTCGTTTCTCGATTTGTATATAGGTTAGTCCGTTGGTTTTCCTGTTTGAATTGTTTTACATTAGTCATTTTGGTGCCCTTTATAGCTTGCTTGCTGTTCGATGTGAGCCAAGGCTCCGTGTTGAAGGCCTTACTTTGACCTGTATTTGTTTACTTTTTATGCATTGTGACTTGGATGGAAAGTTGTCTCATTGACACTCTGACTCATACCACATCTTCTTATTTATAATAACGACAATAAAAAAAAAAACGAAAGACAACGAATAAGTCCATAAACACTACTATAGAAAACTAAAGACTAACCGCACCAAAAAATTGGGGTTGTGGTAAGGGAGGAGGAGGAAGGCAGGTGCTCCGGAAGTGTATGCAAATCCTGCTCCACGAACTGCGCACGTCATGTTACACATATAATAGATACAAATATGTTTTTCAAACGTCTCAATAAATCTTAACAGTAGTAATTTTTAAATGATCTGTGTTTTGATATTATTATGTTTGTTTGTTTCTAAAATAGAGATGAAGAGGTTAAATGGTTGGCATGGATGGAAGTACAGTTCAAAAAGATTGCAGGGGAAGATGGAGAGATAAGTTTGGAAGAGTTCAAAAATGCTTTGGGGGTGAAAAAGGTAAATTCTAAAGTCACTCAAAATCAAAATACAGATCATGTGTCAAATCTTTGCTTACAATGATCTGCAGTTATACTTTCTGTTTCGAAGAACTTTCGGTTCTCTCTGGTTTTGACTCATTAAGAAAAGCCTTTAAAAGGCTGAAATTTCATTGGCTGATGTAAAAATTATCATAACAGAAAGTAAACACAGTGTTGTGAGATTATCGTAAGCAAAGCTTAGACACAGAATCTGCTTTTAAATCAGATAAGGGCATTCTGTCTTTTATAAATCTTCGTACATGAGTTGTCAAAAAATTATAAGCCTAAATTCTTAGACAGCAACAAAACAATAGAATAAGTTATGTGTGCAATAATTCAAAAATGCATTGGTAGTGAAATTCAGTCTAAGGCAAAGGTTGTTTTCTTTTTTAATGACATTTAGTGAATATCTCAATAGGACACTCTCTCCCTATCTGTATAAAAGTCAATATGGCGGCTCCTTAGCGAAATGTCAACTGTGGATTTGACGGTAGCTTAATGTTAATAAAAATGACAAATGTTGGGGTTGAGATTTAAATAAATTTTTTTTTAGTGGTTATTTAAGAAATAATTCATGCAAGCTATAGATCTATTAAAATTCTTCAGCTTTATCTAACAGGGGGTAAAATAGAACAGCAACACATTAGGCATACCCACCCTCGCTGCAGTTTTTTAATAACCGAATTTGTCCTATTAGAATCGAAATAATTCATGGAACGCTCAGGATAAAATTCGAATATCACGGCCCAGCCCATGTGTAAATTTTCAACAAATCTATGGCTTCCATGAATTATTTCTTAAATGAACAACAGTCATCCCCCAGTAAATATAGCATGAGAGTCTGGATAGAATAGAGAATGATTGACAAAACCATAAAGAAAAACGGCTTAAATATCTAAATATACAGAGTTTAAGGACCTTCATCCAGACCCTCTAATATGAATAGCAATTATAATGTTAACTTCTCACTATACACCTAGAAGACAACATAGCTTATTAAAAATGTAATAAAACTACAATAGAACAAAGTTAAGATTCGAAGAATTCAAAAATGCATTTGTGAGTGAAAATGTTAGAGTCAGTCAAAATTAAGTTTCTCGCTGTGTTTTTAATTCTTTGGTCGGTTTGTTGTCTCTTTGACACATTCCCCATTTCCATTCTCAATTTTATTATAATCCTTAACAACAGGCAATTACTGTATATACAAGCTATACCGTATTTTGAAAGGTATCAATTGTCCTGAAATATTGGGTGCAGGACGCAAAACAGACTCCATTTAATCATTTCAAAGTATCAGACATGCATGAAATATTTGCCTCTCGATGTTCGCTCTTTTTTTGCCAAATATTCGGAATCCTCTGGTTTATTCCATGTAGTACCATTAACAAATTTTGCCCACTAACCCCTACTTTTCTTTCCATAATTTGATTACATATAGTTTTAAATGTCATCTTTGAAAATCTTATAAAATCCTTGTTATTTTTTCATCGTTTTTGAAAGAAAAAAGGGGCCAATAGTAAGTGTTTGAAAAATCAAGAGAGAATTACTTCCCGCCAAATTTTCAATGGCTTATCTCTCGAAAACAAGCACACGGACCTTTCATTTTTTTCTGCTATTTTAGTTTCTTTATTTATATACTATCAATTTATAACAGTCTTTTAAAAGGCTTGTTATTTTGAAACAGAGTAGCGAACATCCTTAAAACAGACAACATTAATTCAATTCAAGGTTACAATCATACTTAACATTTATGAAATATTTACTACTGGACGTAAATCAGTCATCATTTATTCAATTCAAGATATCAACTGTCCCGTTCCAAAACAAGTCTAGACAAAGTTATATTAAATAAATACAACAGAAATTTAAATTTAAAATAAGTTTGTTAAACAAAACATACGTCCAAATCAGGAACCTAATGTTCAGTGCTTGTCGTTTGTTGATGTGGTTTCTCGTTTCTCGTTTTTTTATATAGATTAAACCGTTGGTTTTCCCTTTTGAATGGTTATACACTAGTCATTTTCGGGGCCCTTTATAGCTTGTTGTTCGGTGTGAGCCAAGGCTCCATGTTGAAGACCGTACTTTGACCTATAATGGTTTACTTTTACAAATCAAGACTTGGATTGAGAGTTGTCTCATTGGCACTAATACCACATCTTATATCTATGAATTATTTAAAATTATACATATTTTCTTTCAGTCATTTTTTGCTGAACGTTTCTTTACCCTGTTCGATAGTGACAGAAGTGGTTCCATAGAATGTGACGAACTAATGGTTGGTCTCCGTAAACTGACCAAGGGGACGCCGGCAGAAAAACTCAAATTCCTCTTCGATGTTTATGATGCAAATGGTAGTTTACTAAATAAACTTATAATTTTATTTTCTTATTTATGACATAAACCATGTCCTAAATAAATATAAAAAAGAAGATGTGGTATGATTGCCAATGAGACAACTCTCCACAAGAGACCAAATGACACTGAAATTAACAGCTATAGGTCACCGGACGGCCTTCATCAATGAGCAAAGCCCATACCGCATAGTCAGCTATAAAAGGCCCCGAAATGCATGTTATATATGCATAATTAATATTTATATATGATATTTTTAAAAAGGCACATCGTGAATGATTTCATGTTCAAAAACCCTGTACTCACTACATAGCATTTGATTACCTTATATATAAGAATAAGAAAGTGTGGTATAATTGCAAAAGACACAACTCTCCACCAGAAACCAAATGACATAGAAGTTGACAACTATAGGTCACCGTACGATCTTCAACAATGAGCAAAAGCACATACGGCAGCTACACATGTACTACTCGTATTATAAGGAGAAGAGTTGCTGTTCGTCATCTTGCAATGTATAATTAAATACTGCAACAAACTTGCTATTATTCTGTTAGTAATCTCAAAACAATCAGATGTTATACCATTAGCTAAGATTTCTTCGGTGGTCTCATGGTAACGTGTTCGCCTCGAGTACGACAAGTGGTGGGTTCGAACCCTTTCTGTTGTAAATACGGTGCGAACACAACGCGGGAACGTCACTTGTTTCTTATATTGTAACGAAAAGACTTTGTGACGTGTCACTTGTATACTTGGGCATTTTATTGATCGATTACATTATTATAACATGCAACGTTTTCTTCCTTAACTCACGTATTCTCGACACTTTCCGGGTCAAAACAAAGACTTCACAATTGTTATTTGTTGCTTATCCGCTCTGCCAGTTGTATAATGAAAAAAAGAACAAAGACTGGTTAGTATGTGTCTGGTAAGATGAAATGTTTTCCTTTAGACTGTTACCTTTTGAACTAGCAAGTTAAAAACTCCGGCGCAGTGTGCATGTCTAGTACAAAGTAGGGTTAATATTCATATGACATTAACATGTTTGCGTCCTGAATATGCACTTAATTTGCCGCTGGATGTTAAATAGCCATATATTATGGCCATCACCAGTTGAGAGGAAAAATATTGCTCACAACTTATTGTTTAGAAATTTGATATTTCTTTCGTACCAGTTACAGCAATTTGTATGCCCCTGTCGCGGCGGAGGGGACATTAAGTGTTACCCTTGTCCGTCTGTACGTCCATCAAAGTTACTGTTCTCTAACTTTAGTTTGCCTCAACCTCATGTTATGAAACTTATACACAATTCGTATAACCACAAAAAAAAAAAGATTCCGAATTTGGGTGCCGTCACTTTTACCGTTCTAGAGTTATGCCCCTTTATTGCGTTACATGCAAGCGGAGGCATTATCTGTGTCCCATGGACACATTCTCCAATTATTTCAAAATGTCTCAAACCCAAACGAAATTGAAATTTCACGTAATTAAAAATTGAAATTTGGAATTTAAATTTTTGTCAAGATTATTCTATAACAATTAAGGGTTTTAAATTTCTAAAATCATCTAATAGTCTAAAAAAATTATTTAGATTTTTGTAACAAGGCATATCTTAACATCTTAATATTTTCCGAAAAGAAAGTGGTACTATTGATATCGATGAACTGAAGACAGTCTTGAGATCCTGCATGGAAGAAAGTTCCCTACAGCTGAGTGAGGAGGATTTAGACAGTTTGACTGCTTTGTTGTTTGAATCAGCCGATGAAGATGGTAGTGGTGAAATATCATTTGACGAACTGAAAGCTGAACTAGAGAAACATCCGGGTGTTATTGAAAATTTATCAATCAGGTAAAGCATTTACCTAAAAGGTCTACAGCGTATATGAATGAAACCTACATTCTACACTCTTTTATAAAATACCATTGAAATTTTCCGGGGTGTTATTGAAAATTAATTAATCAGGTAACGTTAACGTTAATAAAAAAATCTAAAATGTAGACTGTGTTATGAAATACCATTGAAAGTGTACTTCTTGTTTACAGATTTATTCAAATTGACAAACGTTTTACCGAAATGAAAATAAAGTGATATGATCGGTAGTGAGAAAAATATCCACCATGATAAATACTTTTAAACGTGATATGTTTACACAATTCTCAATATCTCTCATCTCCAAGCATATCTGATAAGCCTTAATACAGAAACACCTATCATGCACATCGAATTAAAGATAAACTAGTATTGAGTTTGCAGAATTGTCACCGTCAGTTGTGAATTTGACGGTCGCAAATACATTTTACTTTAGATATTCTAATCTACCTTCATTCAATAACATATATTGAAGGTGTTCGTCCTCAATATGGTATTATCGAAAGTGGAAAGTTGTATTCGATCTATTAAAGGAATGATTGTAATATTGTTTTCTGTCTATGAAGAAATAACATAAAGAATGTGGTGCACACTGAACAATCCGTGTAGCTGGTTATTTTAAAGTGTGCACCACATTTTTATGTTATTTCGAATAGACAGAAAAAATATTACAGTCATTCCTTATAATTTAATTCTAAATTCCATTTTAAGTCGGAGTAAATCGTGAAAAAACCTTGATGACGTCACGATCACATGACAAAATTATGTCTATGAGTTGATAGACAAAACACTGTCAGCCAATCAGAAGACGCGTTACATCTAAAATAAAATTATTTTAAATTATGTAGAATGATTGATACAAATAAATTTAGTAACTAGCAATTGAAACTGATTAAAACTAAACAAATAAATAAAATAGGGAGTGAAATCCCATTATGAAATAACAAAATCCAATCACCATCTGATCACCAACGTTTATTTTTTAGTGCCGCTCAGTGGATGAAGCCGCCAGTTAAGAAGAAACAAAAGGATGGTTTTTCGAGATATTTTACAAAAAGATATATTCTAAATAATTTACGAAAAGTTTTGTTCTTTTTATGGTATGTTCTGGCAAACATTGGATTTGGAATTTATGCTGGTTGGAACTATCGCACATCAAATGGATTTATTATTGCTGCCAGAATTTGTGGAATGAATTTGAATTTCAACTGTATGTTTATACTCGTTCTTATGCTCCGTAAATCATTGACGTATCTACGCATGACAAAAATAGGCAATTTGCTGCCGATTGATCAACATATTTTATTTCATAAAATGGTCGGAATCATGATAGCGTTTTACAGCGCTGTTCATACAATTGCTCATTTGGGGAATGCAAGTAAGTATAACATATGATTTTAAAATTTCTTCTCTTCTTGAAATACTTGAAACTGGCGTTACTCAATCAAATTTTAGCTCGAATAAATAGTCATGTGTATAACTGCAAAACACAACTATGTATTAGTTTAATTGTTTCAAGGTAGTTAGAGTAAACACAGATTGAAATAATGAAAAAGAAATTTTAAAACACACAGTTTTGAGGTTATTTTGAATAGACAGAAAAAATATTAGTCATTCCATATAATTTAATTCAAAATTCCATTTTTGAGGAGCAAATCATGAAGAAACGTTGATGGCGTCACGGTCACATGACAAAATTATGTCTATATGCTGATAGAAAAAATACTTTTAACCAATCATAAGACGTGTTACATCCAAAAAAATTATTCAATATTGCGCATTAATGTCAAACATCAGGCACTCGTGTTCTCTTACAAATAAATATATGTGTATGTCTCATTTATTTGTAGATGATGGTTTTAAAACAATGACCAAGGAAACCCCTCTCTAAAAAATAGATAAATAAAAATAGATACTATAAAAACAAACGTTACAAGTTATAATTTTTTAGAAATTAAAAAAATCACATACAAATACCTCAGAAATTAAACTTTTTATTAATATATTTATCGAATGTTCTGATACTGTTTGTTCTTCTCTTCTTTATACAATGTCTTCTTTCATAGTTTTACTGGATAGATCCAGAGACGACCTGAAACTTTGGGAGATTTTATTCACTACCAAGGCGGGCTTTGGTTGGGTTTACGACACAGCTATCCTGACTGGATGGGGATTAGATATCATAGTGGTCATAATGGTCATCTGTTCTATGCCATTTGTCCGGAGAAGTGGACACTTCCAGGTACGTACAACGTATGCATATATGCATGAGCGTTAAGATGTAATGGAAAATAAAGTAAAGTCTATAAATTTCAACCTGAAAATGTGTGATAAACTATGAATCAGCTTTGTCTTTATTTGCCATGATAAATAGCATGTAAAAAGGGAAAAGACTTGATGTTTTCGAAGGTTTTATCTAATCTAGATATAAAGAGACGTTAAAATGTATGCATTTAAACGATATACTTAATCAGTATGGTCACCTTGACATCTCCAATCCAGCAGTAAATCCCATCCCGAGGGATGTCCGTTTAGCTATACAGTGCACAGGGGCGGATCCAGTCATTTTAAAAAGGAGAGGGGTCCAAACCCAGGATTAAAAAAAAAGGAGGGGGGTCCAACGATATTTCCCTACTCAAATGCATTGATCGTCAAAAAAGGGGGTTCCAAACCCTGAACCACCCCTGGATCGAGCACTGCTTCATGAATTCGTAGACACGTACGGCTGGAATAAGAACGTTACATGCAATGTCTCACATTCACTCTAAGAAACTGCCACGCAGTCTGCACTTTTAACAGCCGTTGTACCTGCGCTCCTGAGATCACCCCCAGTTTTTGGTGGGGTTAGTGTTGCTCAGTCTTTGGTTTTCTATGTTGTGTTGTGTTTTGTTTGTCTTTTTCCTTTTTAGCCAATGCGTTGTCAGTTTGTTTTCAACTTATGAATTTGAATGTCCCTTTGGTATCTTTCGCATCTCTTGTAAGTGATTCGGATCATACAATATTTGTCCAATTGCAGTCCAAATGTCATGTATAGGCTCATGCCGACCAACCGTGTCAAATACTTGCCACTAGACACTTTGGATTGATATTTTTGTTAAGTTTAGTATTATGATAGTTCTTAGCTTTTTGGAAATGAAATGTAAAAATATACTCAAATAGGACAGCGTCATACAATTGTTTCTACAATTGTTAAGCGACTGGAACGGCCTATATTTGAGATATCTTTATAGGAATTATCTTAAACTTAAAAGGACTATCAATACAACTGTGATTTGACCAGTCAGAATGTACATTGTACGACAAAAGAAGAAGCTATATAATTATACTTGTATATTTTTCTTAGTTCGAAATTTTCAAATCATGCACTAAAATTAAGCAGATGAAAGTAGTCAGTCGTACATTGTTTAAGAATGTTCGCTCCTCTTGTTTTTGAATTTTGCCAGATTTTCGGAATCCTCTGGTTTTATCCACGTAGTACCATTAAAACCCCTCTAACCTCTACTTTTCTTTTCACAATTTATAACATATAGTTTACATAGGCTGGTCCTCTCCCTTGCAACATATCTGTCAGAGCCAAACAGATAAAGGACAGGGAACCAGTCTAATAGTTTACAAAGCCATTTTTGAAAATCCTATAAAATCCATGTTATTTTTTTCATAATTTTCGAAAGAAAAAGGTGCCAATGTTAAATGTATGAAAAGTCTAGAGAGAATTATTTCCCGCCAAATTTTCAATGGCTTATAACTTGAAAACAAGCACATGGTCCTTACATTTTTTCTGCTTTTTTAGTTCCTTATTTTCAATATACTATCAATTTAAGACAGTCTTTTTAAAAGCTTGTTATTTTGAAACAGAGTAGCGAACATCCTTAAAAGTGTTATATTCTACTTTACTGAATAACTGAATCAATATTTGTGAAGGTTCATCATTGGCAAAATAAAATGATATGATCCGTTTGTAGGCTTTTTGTTCGGCATATATGGTATACGTTTTATATTTATATACGTAATTGGATACATGTGTTCTACGCTCCCGTCCGAATCTTGTATTGCCGATTTGTTTTGTATATAGATATAAGAAGATGAGGTATGAGTGCCAATGAGACAACTCTCCATCCAAGTCATAATTTTTAAAAGAAAAAAAAATGTTCTTTTTGTAGGTGTTACTTAGAACACATGTACTATATGTTCCATTTGTAGTTTTTTAAAAGAAATAATGCAAATGTTCCGTATTTTAGGTTTATATTTGGCACATCTATATAAATGTGCTGTATTTTTATATTTGATATAGATTAAACACATATGTTCTTTTTGAAGGTTTTACTGAGAACACATGTATAACATGTTCCATATGTAGTTTTTATATTCGAAATATGCATACGTCACATATTTTAGATTAAAATTTGGCACACGTACATATGTATTAGTGTTGTATTTGAAGATATAATGGACACATATGTTCCTTTTGTAGGTGTTCTACTGGACACATATGTTATATGTACCGTTCTGGATTCTTGTAATCATCCATGGTTCCAACTTCTGGAAATGGTTTGTAGCTCCTGGGCTCCTATTTATCTTGGAAAAGCTTTCAAGATCAAAATTTATAAAGAGAGCTAGATATGGAAATACTTACATCGAAGAAATAACATTATTACCATCTGGGGTAAGTTAACATTGGATTTTAAAATACTTTGCTGAAAGGTGATAATTTCGCGGAATGATTTTACGGGTTGAAATTTTGTGCTTATAAATGCATACAATTTTCGCGCGGGGGTTGAATCCGCGTATTTCACGTTTACAGTATTGACATCTAACATTTTTCATAACTATAAAAATCCGTGGTTCTAAACGATGTTTTAGTAAATACATGTATCGTAAGTGCACTATATCCATTTAAATTGTACCTACATATACCATGTTTATGAATATAGATGAATCGTCAAAACAAGTTCATTAATTGATTGGCGAAAATGGAACTGAAAGTGCAGACTGGTACCATATAGTGTTTTTTTTTCAACGCCATTTAAAACGCATTTATCTTGACAAACGTCCAACAAACTACACTTGCATATTCACGTGCTCTCACCATGCACATATTATTATACATAACTTTCAAAACAATGAGAATAAATCGGGACTTTTCATCAAACTTAAATGGTTGAGTATGGGATGTACGTATATCTTTAGCTCCGTCGGTTAAAGAGCCGACTTCGAACGAAGATGATATGTTACTAGGTTGATTCTTGGATGTGGCCATGTTGTAATTTTCGAGAGCCTCAAAGAAAAAAGTACTAAAAACGAAAATATATTCATGCGCGAACATCCTTAAATGACATAAACAGACAAAACTCACTGAAATTTCCATTAACGATTTACTCTTTTATTTTAGGTCACACATTTAGAAATTTCAAGACCTGACAATTTCTCATACAAGGCAGGGGACTACTTGAATATACAAATTCCTGCCATTGCTGAACACGAATGGCATCCATTTACAATAAGTAGTGCACCGGAAATGGACGGTACGTATTAGTGAATACAGTAGTAAGCGGAGGGACCAGTTTTGCTGTTTTTATTTTTCAAAGAGAGTCTTTAAATAAATATTTTAGTATATTTCACATATATACAACAGCTTGTGATTCAAATAAATTAATAAGAACCATTTCGTTGGAGAATTCCCTTCTCGAGTCCGGGCGGAAGTGGGTTCGATCCCTGGCCAATACAAATTTAAATTGGTGTTTGCTTCGTCGCAATGCACGCGCAATTAAGGAGTAAGAGACTGGTCTCCTCGGAACCGGAAAAATGTGTTCGAATGGAGTGATATGTCCCCCTACTATTTATAACTGCCACTAGACTTTAAACAGCCATAATTGAATAAGTCAAAAGTATGGGAACTTAAAACTGCATATAGTATTCGTATTCTAATGGTATGCAACACTAGTTAGGTGTTCTGCTACAGATTTGTGTTTCTTTAATCAGGAAGGTTATGGCTTCATGTAAGATCAGCTGGACACTGGACAAAGAAGTTATACGAGCACTTTGAGAATTACGACCCCGGAGAATCCGAGGACATAGAAGATGACCATTGTCCAATGGATGACATTGAAAGACGGCGCAAGTCTGCTGTAGGTTCAAGGAGAAAATCAACAATTGGTATGTAACATTGAAAAAAAAAACTATTGATTGATTTATTTTGGTATAACGCCACTTTCATCGCTATCAGTTATGTCGTGGCTGCTAGTTGTTATTGGTGGAGGAAGCAGGAGTGCCAGGAGAGAAATCACCGACCTTCGACGGATGAAAAAACGAATACAAAACCTGCAAATTGCTGTAATAAGTATAACAACTGAAATCGAAACTACTTAAGTTGTTCGATAACAATCACGGATTGGTTGACCGACACGATGAAAATGTGTATGTTCCACAACTCACTAGCGCCATGTTTGTTCGCGGTTTTAAATCTTTAGATATCAGAATAGTTGTCTGAATAGCAAATCTACCGATAATGTGTTATTCCCGATTGTGACTTTTTAATTGGGTGTAGATTCACGTGTCGGGTAATGAATGCATCGCAGGAGATACACCCGTTCTTGCTCCGTTATGAATTCATGCAATTCTCCAATGTTTTTTTACCATGATTATCAGTTAAAGTTCAACGAGCCATAGATGTATGCAAAATTTTACCAACATCAGTGACATAACCCATACACTTTAACTTGTCCTTAAGCTTGATGTTTTCACTGTTCAGAATAGATTTACAGAAGTTCTATCTACCCGTATAACTGACAAACGGCATGCAAATCATACACATTTAAACGTTTATTGCATGGTAGTTTATAGATAGATATTTCAAAAATACACGTTGAAAAGCACAGTTTCAAGCGATATAGGAGAACAACTGCATGCAAAACGAAGTATATTCTAAAACACAGCATTTTAAGGTAGAAAATTAAGCACAATGTGCAATTCTGAAAAAAAAACAATACAAATCTAGCGCTTAATAAACTAAAAAAAACACTATATACATGCATTGCACCAGCGTGAGCTGTTACTTTGTATCCAATGTGGGTACCAGTAGTTTTAAATGCCCAAATGATGTTTACACGTGGCCTGAGAACACAGTTATTTCGTAGTGCATTTCTTTTAGATAATAAATGAAAATTAAAAAAATCCCACCTGCGCTTTCTCAATAATATTTTTACAGTGTGGTGTACTACTTTTGGGACAAATTATATCAAAATTATAGAAAACTTCATCAGCTCTACCTCAAAATATGGACAATTTTATCTTAAGGGGTTCTTGAATTCTTTTGGCAGCTCCCAAAATACTATTGTGTAATCTTTTTCAGCTGGACTAAATCACTACTTTACTTTAAAATTTATGACCCAAATTTTTTTACAGTGAAATTTCCTCCCCCTACTTGCTATATGAGGCATAACCAATGAAGAAATAAATTTGGAAAGGGTGTAAAAAAATTGCAAGTAACACACTGTCCACACTACGGACTATATTTGTAAAATCAAAGGACGATTACTGTGTTCCCGGACCACGTGACAATGGTTGGGCAGTTTATTCAAAACTTTGAGCAACATTAAGGATGACTTTTGTACTTAGGTGAAATTAAGAAAATCTAGAATTTAAAACTGATACTATAAGTCAGAAGAGTATTAGTAAAGGAACAAAATAAGCTTAACATATTGATAGATTATGGAGCTCCTTTTCGAGATATTTTGATTTTTTTTAAATGGCGGGAAAAGGCTGGCTCGGACTTTTACCTCATATTTGAATAGGTATTATTTGGGTCTCAAATCGAAAGAAAAGAAATCTAGAATCTGCTTAAATTTTGGTAGATGACCTTTTATGAGCTATTGAAGTCTTATAGGAAAAGAAAAATGGGTGTTATGGGGCAAAATATTTTACCCTGTATCGTAGGAAAAAGACCAAGAAGTCCGAACATCTGATAAAAATTCCCAAACCTGACCTAAGTACATCCTTAAAACGAATCGATTTCAAACCTGGTAGTTTGGGCTTTTCGGCGTACTGTTGTTTACTGTCATCTAAAATAAATTAAATCCTTAATTTCAATATCAATTAAATCATGTAAATAAATTGACCTTTTATTAATTATTTCAAATGTTACAATGACGTTACCAAATTTTTATTCTCTTAATTCTTAAAACAAATATAATCTAAATTTGTTTAGCGGTTCTTCATAAGAACAATCATATGAATCTAAGAGCTCTTTCTTAAAATTTTGTTATTTTAAAAGTGATCTTTATACTTGTGCTTAATTGCCAAACAAAAGTTAACACACGAAAGCATGTTTTTTTTCTATGCAAATACAAATTTTATGCATAAAACATATTTTCTACCAGAGGTATTAAATGCCATGCAGTTTGGTAAGAATATCTTTAAACATATAACGCTTGATACAGTAATAAGCTGTTTCAGAATTTAATGCATTCTGGGTAATATTTTCAAAAATGTCGTGATTGGTTAGAACTATGGAAATTCAACCAATAGCATGACGTTACTTTCATTTTGGGGTACGAACAATACAATTACCCATATTCTTTTAGATTCTGAATCGGTCAATTCTTGCTTTGTCTGACTAATACATCCAATATTTATGCCTGTCCTAACAATAACTTTCGTTTTGTGTTTCTTGCTTCCGTATATTTATGTATCATTGCATGCAGTATATAATGCTAGTTCTCTCCCTTGCAACATACGGGTATCTGAGTCAGAGCAAAACAGACAAAGGACAGGGAACCAGTATAGCTGTATTTTCGGACTTCTATATGTGTATCTAAACAGAAAAGTATTGTCATAACAATTTTGTTTTTAATGTGTAGAAAAAACAAATTGTCTCAATAACGAAGGCAATCAAATCAAGAGATACGAAGTTGGACAAAAATTGACCCTTGTACATGTATATGAATTCATTTCAAAATTTCCAGAATTGAGTTTTCATTTCTCTCCAAATGAATAGAGGATTAACTCTATCTTCCCCTTTGAATGATATTCAAAATTCTCTAATTTCTTGAGTTAATCTTGTAAAGATTTTGTTAAAATCAATAATTGAGACTGGTACAATTGCAAAACGTTAACTTGAAAATGGAACAGGTTTATCACACATTATATATAAAATGTGAGACGTGGACCAGTTTATCAAGAATAAGTATGATTGGACTAAGTTATGTCATCTCTTATGTTAAAGATGTAAATAAGAAGGCCTTGATGAGAATTCTACAAAAAAGTGATGAAACATATTTTTCAAAAGTTTCCTTCCCCCTCATATGCCAATTCCCTTACCATTTTCTATGGTCAGCTGTCCCCTGTTCAAATCACAATTTCATGAAATTGTGTGCATGTGGTAATATGCATTCAACCACTTACATTTACCGTTTTTTTGTGGTTTTGATTAATTATTATCTTCTCAATGGATAATACAAACTAAGTTCACAATGGCTGTTTCACTGCAATAAATGCCATGATTATGGCCTTTAGATATTGAGTAGTATTGCCTAGTTGTCAGTTGTTGTATGGTTTTAATACATTTGCCAAGACTTTACACTACAAATATAAACTAAATTTAATATATATTTTCTCCTGAATAAAACTAATATATGATTTATATCATAACATTATTAGTATACTCAATCAACAGTAAATGTACTCGTCAAAAATGATTGAAATACAGATCATGATTAAAATACAGATCATGATTGAAATACATATCATGATTAAAATACATATCATGATTAAAATACAGATCATGATTAAAACACATATCATGATTGCACACTTCTCTTACAATTAAGGATCTCATAACACTCCATCCTACTTTCTGTTCTGATACATTTATATATCAACCAATGAAATTCCTGCCTCCAAAGTTTTGAAGATTTGTATCATTACGACAAAATTTGAATATCCCTAAAGGTTGTTAAAACAGAAAGTAGGATGGAGTGTTTTCATATCCTTGTCAGCGAGCGTGGACTTAGGATCTGTATTTTAATCAGATTGTTATTCTAGTACAGTGCAATTAAAAGTACCGTGTTAGATATCGTGTTTCTGAATAAAGATTTGCACGTGGTGTGTTACACGCCTTTATTCCGACAGCCTATTAGTCCGACAGCTCATCAGTCGGACGCCCATTGGTCCGACAACCCATTAGTCCGACAACCCAATAATACGACAACCCAATAATCCGGCAACCCATTATTCCTACAACCCAATAATCCGACAGTCCAATATTAGTCTGACACTTAAAAATAATTATTGTGCGGTATCAGGGTTAAAAAAAAGATGTCTGTCTGTATTATAACGTATATATTGTTACATATGTACAGATATAACTTCGTATATATTATATAGGTAGTTCGCATACTTTTTATATACTTAATTCGAAATCTGTATAGGCGTAATTAAAATTTGTGTATAGAGGTATATCATTCAAATATGTATTTTCGCGCCTTTCCGTATATACAGAAATCGTTTATGTATTTACAGAATTCAAAAAAAGGGTATACAGAACTATTGGGGTACGAATAGACCTCGAATTCCGTATATACGGAATTATGACGTAACAACTCTTAGCATACGCAAATACAGACTATACAGACTTTTATTTTGGCTTTAATATTGATTCACTTATAGGGTCTTTGCATCGGAATTAAACATATTTATTCTAAAACCAGTTGTTGGCATGACACGGGTTATGTTCTTCTCATATATTTTATGATGGTATAATACTAAACCCCTAACAGGAGGGATTGTGCCTGATATTCATATGATGAAGACATAATCTTTCAATCAGTTTAATTGAGGTCTGGAGCTGGCATGTCAGTAACTGCTAGTAGTCTGTTGTTATTTATGCATTATTGTCATTTTGTTTATTTTCTTTTGTTTCCTATTCTGACATTGGACTCGGACTTCTCTTAAACTGAGTTTCACTGTGCGTACTGTTGTACGTTTGTTTTTTCTACATTGGCTAGAGGTATAGGAGAAGGGTTGAGATCTCAAAAAACATGTTTAACCCCGCCGCATTTCTGCGCCTGTCCCAAGTCAGGAGCCTATGGCCTTTGTTAGTCTTGTATTATTTTTAATTTTAGTTTCTTGTGTATAATTTGGAGTTTAGTATGACGTCCATTATCACTGAACTAGTATACATATTTGTTTAGGGGTCCGCTGAAGGACGTCTCCGGGTGCGGGAGTTTCTCGCTGCATTGAAGACCCATTGGTGGCTTTCGGCTGTTGTCTGCTCTATGGTCGGGTTGTTGTCTCTTTGACACATTCCCCATTTCCATTCTCAATTGTATTTTAATTACGTATACACATGCAGAATTCGAACTACATTATACAGGGAATTATGTATATAGATTCTCATTAAACTATTTCAAACAAATAAGGCCGGGTCAGAATATGATTTGCTTTATAAAATACAAAATCTTTTCTGTTCATTAGGTATTGTGTGGCTCCAATATGGCCAAATCCGACCCGCCACCTTAGGGATTAGGTGGGCGACTCTGCTTCTCATTTAAAACAACCTACGACTTACGTTTTTACCCGTCCTTACCCCCCCCCCCCCCTCCCCCCTTTGGGCCAACATTATAAATGTGGCATGTTTTTCTAGATTTTAAAATAAGCTCTGGATATAAAATTAGTACCCCTACATATATATTGTGTGTCATCTCTATGTCTGATCGACCGTTATTGGAAGTGCCGCGTACTGTCTCCGTATTTCGTGGATTCATGTACCCGAACATGACATTCATCAAACGCACAGTTAGTGTCTTTGTAGAAGCAGGAGTTGCTCTTCTTTTCGGAGCTCCTGGTTCTTCATATTTGTCATCTTTTTTCTGGGTCCTGGGTTTGTATATGTCTCATGATTTCCTCATTGTGACTGACGCTTCATTTGTCGCCATTTTCCGCGACAAAATTGAATAAAACTTAGTTGAGTGAGACAAGGGGTTAGGACTCAGCAGTTGCAATAATCATGTGTATCATCTCGAAGGCACTGAGACAAATATCCCGCATGAGAAGAATAATCGGAATCTAAACGGACAAATATCTTCGGGAACGGAGTTGGGTCTTTTTGAGAAAATTTACCCATACACTTATGACAGATGCATTCTCAAAATAATAAACTGTCGGAATAATGGGATGTCGGAGTGATGGGCTGTCGGAATAATGGGATGTCGGAATAATTGTTGTCGGACTAACCGTACTGGTTCGTCTGTACTTATCACCAATCGTTGCAATAATTAAACGAGTTTCCATTGGCTGTAAATTGTTTGTGAGCATTTAATTAAGCTTACTATTTCTTTGCAGTGTATCTTAATGTTTATCTATTTATTCGAAGAGTATTCTTTTTATCTCACGTTCGTTATGTTAATGTATCTATAGTAAGATAGATTTTTAATTTTACTTCCCGATTTTATTAAAAGAAAGACAATTCGAATTTGACTTCTAAGGGGTATTCAAGTTCTCAAATGTAATGTAAAAATTAATATTCGTTACTAGATATCACTTATTAAGTGTATTCGTAAATCACCACTTAAGTATGATGAATATTTGTGTTTTGTTTTTTTTTCTATTCTAGCTATGAAGGTTTATTAAGACATTGATTTGAATTAAGAAATATAAGTATGACTTTTATCTCTGCTCCTTGAAATGTTGCTTTCAAATTTCTATTCCATTAATATATGCATTGATTGTGGTTATTATTATTATGATCAAGGGTCAAGGATAAACAAAGAAACACTACGAATGTTATTATGATTTTGATTTTGATTTTCCAGTTCGCCAAAGAAGCAAATCAATGGGCTTCGTGAATCACTCCTTCAACACGGTAAGTCATAATTACGCACGAAGATATATTCCCTTTTAAACTATTTTGTCTTTATTAATAATTGTCTACAGACCAATCCTCGTCCTGAACATGCAAATAATATTTGCCACTGGACGCCAATAAAACACCTTTCATTTGGCCAATGTCTAAATGTCAATCATAACATATTTCCTCATTTGTATACATACAACGCGATTAAAAATACCATTGAAACCTTGATTTTTTTAATTTTTATCATGGTCAATTATTCTTACAAATCTATATTTGGCTGTAATCAAAGAACATCAGTATTTTTTTTTTATCAAAATACGCATATTTGAACTCGATAAATTAGGTATGGACAAACGAATATATTCTGTTCGTGGGACAAAAACACGCACCGATCTGTATTCAAACAATAACCTGTAAATGGTAATGTTGAAACCATTATTATTTCGGTAGTATCTTAATGATCGGAGTAATGCTAAAATTCATCTCGATAAGTGGTTAGGTACATGTACACATTTTGATAGACAAATCACAAGGTTGTTTTAACACAAGTTTTTTTTTAAATTGTCAACCTCTTATTGGTAGACAAATCTATTACATGTGTAGATCGACTTTTCTACATTTGAATGCACAAATCTGCAATTTTTATTCTTATAAAATTTCAGAGTACTGCTTTCTTTCCCTGTTTTTCAGTTTAATATCTTTCTTAATGAAAACGATTTTGATTCACAAATAGGGACTTTAGAATAATTGATTGATTATTGGTGTTTAACGCCACATGCACCCCTTAACTATGGCGTGAAAAAAAGCCGGAGGGCCAGGATAGAATTACCAAACTTCGGCAATTCAGGTCAATTAAGATTGGAGTCGAACGCACCTGCCACGTGTGTTGACGGGCTAGTGATCATAAGGGAACGATCATTAAACGTCAAGGGTTTGATCCCAAATTTGAAAAAAAAAATAATGTGGTCAAGCAGATGACAAAAAAAAAAGTATTCTGAATCCAGATTTTCCTCATACCTTATAGTATTAAATTAAAAAAAAAAATTGATTGATAGCGTCGAAAAACTAAAAAAAAAAATTCTGACTCAGACAAAAAACCATACCCCCCCCCCACCCTGATAGTTAATGGTTGCTCCCTAATAGATGAACTATTTATACCATTCGGCCATCGAGGTCCCACAAAATATTAGAATGAACGGGTCTTTTGTTGTCCCTGGCGACTTGACTGATACTTCCTAAGTTACTACTGCGATGCAATGACTTGCATAGCTTGCGAGATCCCATGTTAATAAATAATGTACAATTGACCATGCCATTTTCTATTTTGGTCCACCAGAACGTGATACCAAAGACGTTCCTGTTAAACTTGCGAGACCTCAAGTAATGAGGGTATAGGCTGGTTCTCTCGTTGCAACATACGGGTATCAGAGCCAAACAGATAAAGGACAGGGAACCTGTATATGTACAATGCTCCTTTTTGCTTTCGGTTCACCATAACGTGACATTATAGAAGTTCCCGTTAAGTTTATAAGACCTCATGTTAATCAATAATGTACAATACCCCTGTTTGCTTTAGTCAAAGACGTTTCTGTTAAGTTTTGATGTCACAAGAGAAAATGTCTGACAACACAAAGCATTTCTTTTTTAGGCAACATTTCTCGACGCATCCCACATAGCTTTCCGTTCTCCATTCCGGTCGATAAAATTATGTCTTCCTTTCAAAAAAGGTAATCTCAACTAATTTGACTGAATCATTGATAATTAGATCATAAAAAAAAACATACGTATAAACTCATCATATACATTGATATTGGTATATTAATATTTATTTATGTTTTTACAGAAAGAAGTGGAGAAGCAAAACAGAATAAAAAAGAAAAATAAGCATGTGAGAGTTAAGGTGCGTATGCCAGTCCGATATACAACAACTAAAGCACTATAATGGTTTAAAAAGAGTCTCATAGAGAAGATACCATTCCAAAATCAAAAGTCCAATGAAAACATACAACACCATGGTCAAAACGAAAAACGAACTATAACAAAACCCTACACAGAAAACAAACAATTGAGCAACACGAACCCAACTCAAAACCGGGGGTGAACTCAGGTTAACCGGAAGGGTAAGCAATTCCTGAATCACTAGTGGCACCTGTCTTGTTACTCATTAAAAGTAATACTACGTTGATGGCATAAGTCACTTTGGTAATATCACGATCGATGAAAAGAGGACGGCATTGTGGTTACGACAAGTTGAACATTATGTGGTCATCTATGACACAGATATTCAATATCGGTCAACCAAATCATGATTGCGTTTGCAAAACATTCGAAGTGATGACTTCAACTTTATCATTTGAAACCCTTGATGCAACAGCTTCCTTGTAAGCAGTCACACCACTACCAATAAATCATCATATGTAACGCAAGCGCTGGTATATCGTATTAACTAGGAAAAATATACTTCATATACACAATAAAATTGAGAATGGAATTGGGGAATATGTCAAAGACCAAATGGCAGACAACAGCCGAAGTCCAACAATGGGTCTTCAAAGCAGCGAGAAAATCCCACACCCGGAGGTGGTCCTCAGCTTGCCCCTAAATAAAATTGTGTATTAGTTCAGACATGTAAAATTATCTTACATTAATGCATTTATTAAACCAGAAACCCGGCTCGCTTAATCACCCTTTTAATTGTCCATTTAACCAATAAATAGGCTTCACTTTTTCTAAGAAATCGTTCCCGATGGTAACATTTCGCCCAGTTTTGCTTCGGTATAGAAATGATTTGAATGATTCATTTTTGTTTAAACATTTCCAATTTGTCAAATCAAAGACATGTTTTTATGCGAAAACTATCTCAGGAAAAGTTGACATTAGTTTACACGATTTTATTTGTTATAAGCCCATTTTGGTTTTTTTATGATCTCAAAAGTGTTTTGATGTCAGCCATCTAAACGCCGGTTTCCTGAAGCTGTTTTTTTTCAGATGCATTTTTTACGGCATGAAAATCATATCATTTGTTTTTACTTACCTACTTCGATAAGGAGGGCATTGTGTTTTCCAGTTCGTCCGTCCGTCCATTCGTTTGTCCCTTTTCAGTTTAACGTTTTGGTTTAAGATAGTTGATCATAAAACTGAGGTTGCATAAACTACAGTGCGCATGTTCTTTACAATGGTATCTGTTTAACATATTTTCTAAATTAAAGTAAAGTGTTGACACAGAGTTCGCAATTCATTGACGGTTTTTCTTGTTTTTTACAAAGTCTTTACACAATCTATGTTATTTTAGTGTTACCTTGATGGACCATATGGAACAGCTACTAGAGAAATTTTCCAAACAGAACATGCAATATTAGTTGGGGCAGGAATAGGAGTAACACCAATGGCGTCCATTCTACAAAGTATAATGTACAGATATAAAGAATCAAAACGTACCTGTCCTAAGTGTTCACATTCTTGGTTTGGATCAATAGCCCATACCGCAATGAAAACGAGGAAGGTAAGAATCAGTCATGTGTGTGCATGTTCCTGGTTTTGAATCCATAGCCCATACCACAATGAAAACAAGGAAGGTAAGAACCAGTTATGTGTGTGCATGTTCCTGGTTTTGGATCTATAGCCTATACCGCAATGAAAACAAGGAAGGTAAGTACCAGTTCTAAGTGTGCACATTCCTGGTTTGGATCAATAGCACATACCACAAGGAATACAAGAAAGGTAAGAACCACTTCTATGTGTGCACATTCCTGGTTTGGTTTTATAGCCCATACTGCAATGAAAACAAGAAAGATAAGTATTTAAAGATGGTGTCTCTGGTAAACCCCAAAGTGACATTTTGTTGTTGTCAAGTGAGCAGTACATAAGTTTAGAAAATTTACTGGTTGCAGGAAACTGGATAGTAATTTTTCCGCCGTTATTCATTGGTTGGATTGCCACTGCACAATGTAATGTTGAGTTCTCATTTAAACTTAAGACTATGTGCATTGAGTAATTGGCTAGATATAACAACAAGGTGATGTAGTACATGTATGAATGTTACCACAGGACGTAAATGTTAGCAACAATGAGTCGTCCACCGTAAGGCCTGTAACTATGAGCTACGTGTCAATCATAATATGAAGTACGCTATCAAATGCCCCTGAATAACAAATCAAACGGTAAAACAACCGATTTGATTAATTATAAAAAAAGAAAAACACGTTTCCTGACGTACATATAAATGTTTTAAATCAGGAACAATAAATCTTAATTTTTAGAAACACTAGAATTTAAAAAAAGTTGAAATATGTTTTTGATCATTTCAGGTTGATTTTGTGTGGATAAACAGAGATCAGAAATCATTCGAATGGTTCGTTAGTCTTCTAACAAACCTAGAAATCGAACAGTCCCTTGACAACGAAGACGAAGGAGATAGTAAGATTATAGACATGCACATGTTCATGACAGCAGCACAGAAAAAGACAGACATGAAAGGCATAGGATTACAAATTGCATTGGATCTCATGCATGAGAAATCAAACAAAGATTTAATAACGGGATTAAAAACTAAAACACAGCCTGGACGTCCTGACTGGAATAAAGTGAGTATACAAGTGTAATTCTTAGACAGAAATTGCATACTACTCAGTGAATTAAACGAGATGTAGGTATTAATCAAATAGCAAACCCAACAAGACAAAAATATCTATAAATAAAATTTTACTCCTTTTCTATTATTTTGTCGTGTGTAGAAAACATAAAACATTTATGTTTTTTCCCGACAATGTACCGATTGTAACCTTGATTTAACATATTGTATTTGATCTTTCTTGACCGAATACCAAAATGTTTTCCCTCTGAATATGAAACCTGTCGAAAAATCATAAATTCCTGAGTCAAAAGTCGGTATTATAGGAATAATCTATTCAGTTGCTTATATTAAAGTATCATCATATTTTAGACAATCAATATTCGTAGGATAAAAACACTTACGCAATGTGTATGCCTGCGCCGTAGGCGACGAGGGCATAAGGTATTATCCTTGACCTTCCATCTGTCAGTCCTTCTGTCCGTCCGTCATTTTTGAGCGGAGGCATTCGTGTCCTCAGACTACTTCTTTCATTTGTTTTTGTTTTAATTTTTCGTATAATGATAGTCAATCATTCAACTTATATTATTTTTTCAGTTGTTCAAATCATTTGAAGGAGAGAAGAAAGGAAAGATAAAGGTTTTCTTTTGCGGTGCACCACAGTTGGGCAAGATAATAAAAGAAGCTGCGGAAAGATTTTCATTTGCGTTTTCTAAGGAAAACTTTTAACATCGGAAAATGTGGATACAATGTAAAATTTTCAGTGAATCAGATGTTGTTAAGTATTCCTATTGACAATTAAGAGGTTCGTTAAGAGAACAGGCATCACAGATTAGACGTGTAATAAAGTTTATCTGTTTTGTCAGTTCAAGGTTGACAGCAGTGTATACATACTGTTTATCGATATTTATATCAATCCGGGGGGGGGGGGAAGTCACGTAGACAACTTCCTGGTTGTGTTAAGAGTCGCAAAAACCAAGGTCATCATTTATGAGCCGAGGACTGAATGTGAATGTTTTGAAAGTTTGATAGCTTATAATCCATTTTTTTATTACAAAATTAAAGCGATAAAAATGCTCTGAATATTTGAAGCGTTCACAATGATTTTAACATGTCTCCCTGAAAATTTGTGTGCACAATATATAGTTTAAACAAGGCCCCAGCTAGCTTCAACTGGTTTGTGACGTCATGAAAAAGTTGTGTAATTTCAGAACTTATCCGGATCGGAATAGATAGCATTACTATGGACACTCATTCTTGTGTACTTTACGTCATGTTGTTATTTTGTAATTTCTTTAAAGTTTCTATAGTACAGAAATCTACAAGTTATCTAAAAAGTTTGATACATTTGTAATAAATACAAAACCTATAACCTGTTGGCTTATCTTAAGCCTCGGATCATCAATGCGGTTATTTCGTTCTGCCGATGTGCATGTTCAGCTTACCCTTCTGGAGCACCTGAGATCATTCCCAGTTTTTGGTGCGGTTCGTATTGCTCAGTCTTTATTTTTCTATGTAGTGTATTTTATACTTTTTTATGTCTGTTTTTTTTTGTCTTTCTTTTAAGCCATTGCGTTGTCAGTTTTATTTCGAGTTATGAGTTTGAATGTCCCTTTAGATTCTTTCGCCTCTCTTTTATAAACATTATTATTAGACCTGATACGCACAGATACGGATTAACCTTCAATAACAGAGGCCGACTCTCCAAAATTTGACCTGCAGAAAAATGTAAAAACTCATAACACAATTAAGTCCATGATATTTTTTCACCCATTATTAAGGAATGACTGTAATATTTTTTCTGTCTATGAAGAAATAACATCAAAAATGTGGTGCACACTGAATAACCCGCGTAGCAGGTTATTTTAAAGTGTGCACCACATTTTTTATGTTATTTCGAATAGACAGAAAAAATATTACAGTCATTTCCTATAATTTAATTCTAAATTCCATTTTAAACCGGAGTAAACCATAAAAAACGTTGATGACGTCAGGGTCACATGACAAAATTATGTCTATGAGCTGATAAACATAACAACGTCAGCCAATCAGAAGAAGCATTACATCCAAAATTAAATTATTGATATATAATACTAAAAAAAATAGCATCCCAACTTCTTACTAAATATAAGTAAAGACAATTTAGATTTATCTTTCAAGTAAGTGTTCACTTTTCTTAATCTTCAATCATTTTTGTATTTTAAAGAACTAAAGTTATGTTGGTCAAATCTCAGTCAGCTACACTGTTTTGAAACTTTGAGTGAATGGGTCAAAATTGAAAGTCAATATTTTTTTGCAAATGGTCAGCTGAAAACATGAATACAACCACAAAATTGACGAATCTAATGGCGTAATTGATGGCATATGAACATAAATTTACAATCCAAACGAGAAATATCACAATTTAATGTACGAAATACAAATATGACAGACATGAACCAACGACATTGATTGACTTACAAAATATACAATACAGAGACTCGATTGTTAAAGCCGGTTAATCCTGATATTTTCACTAAATGCAGTACTTCAGTTCGTCTCATAAAAATCGACTGCAGAAATATATTTGCAATATACTGCCGGAATATATTTGTAATATAAAGGAATAATTTTGTAAAATTTTTGCTTTGAATTTCAGTTATGATATTAAAGTTTACATGAGCCAAACATTCAAAATTGATAATGACACGAATTGACGATTTCATTCCCGAGTCTATGACAAACGCAATTATATCAACTTTCCAAATGTCAACTTTTCATTTCTCAGCAGTAACGTCCATTCAGCCTCATGGTTTGGCGTTTACATATCATAATTGATACATATATAGTCACACTATATGGACTTCATAAAGAGGGATGTGCTCCTTTAACAAAAAGTGCTCCCACAGGGTTGTGAGGAAGTATTGTACAGTCCCCATCACGAATTGTTTGACGTGTTTCACTGTTTTAGATTTATAGATACCAGAATACTGTAAACCAACTTATCGGGAGCGACTTATTTTCGCTAATTTCGCTAGCATGAGAAAAAAAAAACGCGAAAATATGTCGCCGTGAATAGGTCTCTTAATTTTACTTGGGGATTTACCAAAATTGAAATGAGTATATGACAAACTTTATTACTGAAAGGAAATTGAAATGAACACAAAGCAACTCAAGATAGGATTATCTGGTAGGGTTGATCCGACTCAGATCACCCATGTTAGTAGTACGGTGACAAATAAGGTAAATTTGAAAAATTAATGGACCGAAATACCTCACGGCTAATTTTGGTCTTATTTTGTAGTCAAATATAATACCCTTTGATTAAAGCATGTCGTGGAGTGCCAAAGTGGTGCAGATTTTTGAGAACTGTGGTAAAATGTCAAAAGGGGGGATTTTTGACATTTTTGTCAATTTCTCGGTAGTCTTTCATGATGACTGAGAATTTTTTTCTATGGAAGCATGCTCTGGGAATGCACCACGAATTCAGCTAGTCATATGTATGTCTGATTGCCAGAGATTAGTAATAAATACCCTCGCTTGCAACATGAAAAAAAATGATCAAAATTATCTTTATCTACGGAAATTATCTACAAAGTTAACACCCGGTCCATGATTTAATGAAAAAAATGATGAAATTCTTGACTGATTATTTAAACCGAAAAGGATGTCGGAACTATAAAAAATAGTCTGCATGCATAATTGTCAGCATGGACACTATAGTATATGAAGTTTGTTTTTATGTAAATAGATAAATCAGAGAAATAGCATATTGAGAACCTGTGTCCCCCTTTTTTATAAAACAAGACAAACACTGGAAAATATAGCAGACTTGACTAAAACCGATTGAAAGCCCGATATATATGTGAACTACAAACAAACCCGATTCACAGAGATATTACGCTACATAAAAAGCTGTCTATGTATATAATACACTAACAATAGACATCAATATATTTGAAAAGGTAACGGAATACTAGAAAAACAAATGTGGATGTCATTGTATGGCGCCGACTTTACTCATGAGTTTAATCAAATCACCATGATCTACCATGTACTGATTGACCATTGCTTCTGGGGTCATATTGATCCGCGGTGATTTGATTTTTCACTGCAACAGATGTGTAATTATTAGAACCAGCTAGATTGATACAAATTTTGATATTTGCATGAGTTTTATTTCGACCCCTTGTAAATTGTCTTGTTTGCCAATTCCGATTAGAGAAGACTTGTCGCATCCTGTAAGAGCTTGAGCAGCCAGTGGTGTGCCAGACATCAGTGGTCCAATAACTAAAACAAAGTTGCAAATGTCGTGAACGGGTAAAAACTGTCTTGCGGCTTTGGTAGAAGAAACACGTCCAGTCTGAAACCTCAATTCATCATGTTTGACATCTGAGGAAAAGACCTTATTAGTAATAAAACATAAGTGCCTTGATTTTAATATGATGCAACCCCTGGAACAACTTTTTACCATCTGTTCATTAGTAAACAGAGGAAGGCGGCAGAATAATATTTATATCTGCCTCTTCAGTCACTTACACATCCTGCACAAAATTGCTTCACAGTCTACAGATTTTGAAAAGATCCCGCTAGGAATATTTCTTCATTCTCTTGCATATCAAAATCATTGTAGTGCGAAAGTGCATAATCACCTACAAATCTTATCAACCCCTGTTTATTTTCAGGTGCACACAGAAATTTCCTACAATCTCTAATTGATCTGCATTGAATGTCTTGAAGTCGGCCAAACACGTCCACGACACACCCGAAGTTTTCATAACAAGCTACGTTAGTTTTCTCGATTGAATTGTTTTACATTTGTCGTTTCGCGGCCTTGTATAGCTAACTATGCGGTATGGGATTTGCTCATTGTTGATAGGATGAAATTTGAAAAAAAACAGGACAGGATTTTTGAGTAAAAAAAAGGCAGGATGACAATTTATGTAAAAAAAAGTCAGGATAAAGTAATAAAAAAAAGGCAGGACCGAATAGAATGAAAAATAAAATGGCATGACAGAGATTACAACTAAAAAAAATTTGCAGGACCAAATTTTTCATCCTAGCCCCTCCCCACCCCCCCCCCCCCCCCCCCTCCCCCCATAAAAATCAAATGGTAGACCCTTAGAAGTCAACAATGCATGCTGAATGATGCATCACCTTGTCCTCGAAGTTATCTATGGAGAGTAAACTCACTGCTGGATACCCTGTCTGGTATTTTGCGTCATTTAAAACATATTCTGCACACTCAGATGACTCAACATGCCTTAATTACTTGGCTCGTTGTATGAATTTTGTTTGCAGAATAAACTGACATTTGGACCAGTCTAATGGTAATGCCATGGAGCGTGTTTTAACGAAAGGTGATTCATCATCACACGCATTGGTTTTTCCCTAATTCAAATGCATCAACATGCATTCTTCTTGTACATATAAAAGATTTATAACACGACCAAAGCCACTTTTCTTGTTCTTATTTAATGGAATAATCACCGACTATAATTTTCCGGATTAATTCGGATGTGTTCCAATGTGGTTTAAAATTACTCTATTCAAACAAAAATAAAAACACCTCAAAAGTTATTAAACCTTATCATCTGTACTTATTCAAATATCTAGACACAAACATTCATACAAATCTATAATTCAAATCTATAATGCATATTTGATTCATTGTGAAAAAAACACAGCAATTCATAATCAGGGGAAAATAGGAAAAGGGGGTGTTACATGACTTATTGAGGTGAATATTGAATAGTAAAACTGCTATATGATGAGTATTATAAAAAGGCTTGTAAAAGTTGATTTGAATGTTCTATCAAACTTTGATATATTAAAACTTCTTAAGTATTGGTTGTTCCACTTTATTTTGTCAAAATCACTACGGTTGACGTATGTTAGAAATTTAATCTACTTTGACAGACGGTAAGATTCACTCAATTTGTATTTTCAAATGAAATTTAATTTTAATATTAAATAAAAGCTGATACATTATTCCTTCATTTCATATCAGATATTTGCTGATATCTTCACTCAGGAATTAAAAACTAATGGAGAGTCTACATGATGATCTGTTTGTGAAAAATTTTTTGTTTGATAATGAAAAAGAAAAAAATCGGAAAATCACGCTTTACCGCGATTTTACAAAAAACTGCACCGTGGGAAAACTCTACGACAGGGCTAAAATTATAGTATAATATACACTCTATCATCAGGTAGATTTTCAGCCGTGAGGTATGTCGGTCCATAAAACTCTTAAAATAAGCGACATTTTCTTGATTTGTCACTCCACTATAGAACAATGGAGTTGGGATGTAACAATATGTAAACAAACAGATCAGACGACATAATTGTTCAGGTAAGCCATGCCCTGCAGGTTTGTATACAATCAATTAT